ACCTCGTTCGCTTCGCTCACACGGTGGTTTATTCGGTGGTTATGGCAGCTGCTCATGCAGTTATGACACCATATACAACTCGGGGCAGTGCATTAACCCTTTATTATACAGTACATTTGCATTTTGTACAGTTAAGTGGATACAGACTAGCCTGGAGCCCTGCCTTGTCAGCTACCAAGGCAAGAGACAGAAAGGCCCTTTGGGAAAGCTGGACACAAAAGTATGTAATTGTACATAGTAGTGGTTCCTGTCAAAATACACACCACCAATATTTTTAATACAGATATTAGACTGCTAACCTTACACTACCAGACCCGGTACTCTCTAAACCCCATTCTTCTATGACTGTCTCAAACCTTCAGCAACATAATTTACAAAGACTTTGCTGGAAAAAGCTTCATTCTGAAGCCTTTTCAATTGAAATATCCAATATCCCTGACTTTGAGGGACCATATAATATTTGATTCCTTCGTTCTTCCATACTCCTCACTCCTTTGTTGAGTTTTTCCTATCTTCCTTTGTAGCAGCCTATAAATACTACTCCTCTGTACAATCCACCAGTTTTACAAAGATCCAGCTAGCATAGTTTTAAGTGCTTCCATATAAGATCATCCCTGGAATGAAGGGTTGTGGCATTTGTTTTCCCCCCAATTTTCCATACTATGGCATACATACAGTAGTATTTACATGATTAAGTTTGGGAATATGAAACTCACTGATGGTTGTGTATCTTTGAGCATCGAGTTCATACAAAAAAGTGTATGCTGAATTCCAGCGTTAGAAAATGGTTAGCAGGGCGAAGACGCCGTACAACAAGGCACAGGGATAGGCTACAAGCAGCTGCTGGTCATGCATGGCGAGGGCTGACACAAACAGCTTGGAGGCTGACAGGCTACACCAACCCACCGATAGTGTGGCTAAAATCTGCCCCAGGACACCCCTGTAAAGACAAAATACACACATATATTGTAATTTGAAGATATTCAATAGAGAATACAACATAGTGTACTCCTTATCACCAAAGGTACCAAAAATAATAATAATTGTAAGTTCATCATTGTCCTAACCTGGTATTTGAGTTTTCAACAGAAGTGTAACTAAACTTGAAGCTAAACTTGAAGTACATTGTTACAAAGAATAGAAACAGAAAAGAAAGTTTGCCTAGTCAGGTAATACCGGTACATCAAGTAAAACAGTAATTCCTTGTAATAGTTAAGTACCATATTTCTAGATACAAAAAAAACTACAATCATTGGACTTAATATGCCCTAGAAAATAAGCCATACTCACTGGAGTGAGAGAATGATTGAAGCTCCTGACAGAAAGACCATGGGCAGCAGGCAGTAGCCTAGGATACTGGCCACAGTCCACACACTGACTCCTGTTAGACTCATCATGTTCAATAGGCACCACAACGACACACAGCCGATCCCACCAATACCATAAATGTAGCCAAAATGGACCTTTCCTCCCTGAAATAGAACATATTCCATATTTAAAATGTTAAACATTGCACCATAATCTATTACTCATTGTACCATAGTGGATGACTACTATGCTAACATTGTACCAGTTATTGTACCACAGTTATTGTGCCACAGTGGATGATGACTATGTTAATATTTAAAGTTGCTGTGATCATAATAATAACTTTATTGTACAAAAATTGTACAGTATGGCATCTAGTGATACACAACTACAATTTTATCATAGCATGATAAGGAAGGTGCTTACCAGTAAGAGACAAGACCCAAACATGAGACAGAACACCAGAGGGCCAGCCAGGTCACCGTCCCCAAGTATGGAGGCATCTGTTTCTTTTGTGGGGTTCAGAACTGTCATTGTCTGGGAGGAAAAGGTTTGAATGGTGAGAAGATTTCAATAGTACATGTTTATAAATGTTACAGGTATCCAATGTGAGGTATTAACATTAATAACCACATCAGATTTGAAAGGTAAGCATACTGACACAAGTACTTAAGTGATATAGTACTTTTGGCAATTCTATCCTTTTGTAAAGGACAAAATATGAATATGTGTCTGTATGGTAGTATGCAAGGAGATATGCTTCGATTAAGAAATTTGTATGGACTTCTTACCTTCTGTGTTATGTGATCAAAGTTGATTCCTAGTTCTGAAACAGAAAACATAAGTCGTACAAAAACTTTCAATGTGGTCAATCCTACAGATCTTATACAAGGGGAGATATGCCTCTTCATTGAACTACAAGTAAAAAACGTTTCCTCCTTTTTCCTCAGAAATGCTTTCATACACAAACCAAATCACTTTACCCCAGTTTCTACAAGCAAAGAGAAACATCTTTTCCCCAAATCCACAATGGATGAATGAAGTGAATGTTAGTGGGACAAAACTGAACACAGGCTCACAGCCAGCAAAAATTGTGCCTCAGAGGTTTTAGTGTGTAGGGACACCACCAACCACAACACACCAGTACTGCACCCCTACCTTCCAATAGCGGTGGTTCATCTTCAAAACTGGTGTGGCCTGTGAGTACAAAATGGGCGTGTGTGTGCTGTCGAGAACCCTATTTATATGTATGCATGATGGGCCAATACATTTACCTCTTATCTATATTAGCATTGAAAGACCTAATTCAGTAGTTCTTAACATGAAAAAACTCCTCACATTAATACAGACAAAAGCAACATCCATCTGACCTGAAGTAATCCATTCCAAAAACACAACTGTACAAATCCTCTCATTAAAACAGACAGAAGTAGGACTGATTTCCTTGCAAATTCTACTGCTAATGCTGTATTCTTTCAAGAAGACACATAAAAATTTCTCCTGCATCAGAGGGCCATCAACAAAACAGAGACGTACCTTCCAAGAGCGGTGGTTCGTCCTCAAAACTGTTGGGATCTCCTTGTCCCATGGGTGAAGCTCCGTCCTGTGTGTAGCCTGCGTAGGATGAGGACGTGTCTGGCGTGAAGATGTTGGGCTGGGCTGGGTACCCTCCCTGCTGCTGGGAATAGTCATATCCACCAGCTGCATATTGACTGGAAAATAAACCAAAAAAACAGATTAATGATCAAGAACAGTTAACAGTGTGCTGTATGCCAGTATGAGTGTATGGTCACATGTGGACCTCGCAGGTTGAGTGGAATACATGTAATACCACACACCTAAGATAGAGAGATTTTGACAGCATTCTACATAACAGTATGTATAACAGAAGACTATGACCCATTTTTCAAAAAAGATACAACATAAGAAACAGATGAAATCATGAAATAGCTTCGTAATTAATGAACTTTTCATGGTGCAAATATATGTACTGTTAGTAGTTACCTCAGGCGCAGCCTTACTAATGTCTTTTGACCCAAGTAGTTTCAAACTCCTATATACAAACGCACACATACTTTGGTGTATATTGTTGCTGTCCATATGCTACATACTGTTGCTGTCCACCACCATCGTATCCTGCATTCTGGTTCTGGTCATCGTAGCCGGCAGCATAGTTTGTCTGGAAGAAACCCTGGTCAAACCCGTCAGGGCTCTGTCCATACCCTCCTGACATGGTCGTACTGTAACAGGAAAGAAACCAGGTCACAGACATGGATAATAAAGGATCTTGGCATAGAATATTGTTCCCATCTCTGAGATTTTCACCTCTACTTGCATTTAACAAAATTCTCATACCCACAAAAGGCCACATCTTTAATGTGTACAAAACCACAATGAAATATAATATTTGCAACACATTTTAAGCATGACATCTATTTTATTTTATATTACTACCCTAGCATACATGCTTCTTCAGTGACTGCAGAATTTATCGAAGTGCCATTTACATTATATCCATTATCCATGGGTATAATGTTACAAATCAAAACCCCAACATACTAGTTTAAGCCTCAAAAACAAACTGTTCATGCTACTTGCAATTATATTAGTGCAAAACATCCCATACACTAATGAATCTAGCACCTTTCTAATATTTATGCTGGTAAAAGCACCATAACATTACTCTCCAAGCAGAAGTTGATGGTGGGAGATTGTTTGCTTTTTATATATGGCCCTTTTTTTCGGTGGGGAAATGGTTACAGACTGGCAAATTTGATACCCACCAAAAGATCTGCTTGGAGATTGCCATGACATGACAGCAGCTTAGCCAACATCCTCAATCTCAATTCCTTTCAAGACCTTGCCCAAGACTAAGTGTAAGCACAATATTTTGCACATTTTGGGTGATATTGTATGTTTCAAGCAACTTGGCATTCTGTGTGTTGGAAAGATCAGCCAGGCAACATCCAGTTCACCACCACCAGTGTGTTGCAGAAGAAGCACAGACACAGAACAGACAGTACAGACCTTGGTGGTTTCTGGCTTCCTTCTAGAAGCCCTAGGGAATTATCTGGTGGTTGAGAAGTGTCTGGTATT